ACAATAGTGTAAAATTAGATGTGTAAAACAATTGAATCTGAACCGTATAAAGGCATTAACATTAGACATTAATTACTAGTAAATTGGAAGAGTCAAAGTTACAATTGAACCCAAAATAGAATGAAATAAAACTAAATCAGAAGTACAGTAGACTGGAATTAAATTAGAGTTGAAAGAAACACATTGAATAATAATCCATTACTTAAATTGAAATACAACTTAGAACTAAGGTAGAATTGAATTAGAGTTGTTTTACCTAGAGCTTGGTTAGTAGAACAGTATTGACTTAGAACTAGATTGGAATCTAAGTTCAATTAGAATTGAACTAGATCTAATTTGCAATCTCAATTTGATTTAAATTATATAAAGTTCAAGTAGGATCATTTTCTATTTAAATTAGAAGCACGTTGCAGATTCAAATTTAGATTTAAGATTGAATTCCATTAGATCTAAAATAGCCAAACATAATTAGAACTAAAATAGAAATGAGTATATAAATTAGAATTTGTCTATACAATGAAGTTAAGCTAAATAGACTTAATTTAGAATTCAATTAGGCTCAACTTAGGCTTAAAGTAGAACTATGTTACATACTCAAATTAAAGTAGAACTATGTTACATACTCAAATTAGAATCCATTTAAGGTTCAATTAGACTTCAATTAGACTCAACTTGGAAATTTAAATAGAAATACAAGTGATTTTAAATTGGAATAAGAATTGACTTAGAATTTAGTTAAATTGTATGTGCACTAAAATTCATAGAAGTAAATTAGAGTATTGAATGAGGAACAAATGTCCGTAATCAGTAATATTCCAGGATCAGAATGTACTTAGTGCAATTTTGTCACTACCAGAGAATGCCAGAGAATGCATTCCTGCCCAATACCAAGACCAAGATCCAAGATGTGCACAGAAGTCTTGTGGAAAATCTTGGAATTGGATCTTGGATCTTGGTATTTCCAAGATTTTCCACAAGACTTCTGTGCAAATCTTGGATCTTGGTCTTGGTATTTCCAAGATTTTCTAAATCTTGGATCTTGGTCTTGGTATTTCCAAGATTTTCCACAAGACTTCTGTGCAAATCTTGGTCTTGGTATTGGGCAGGAATGCAGTCTGAATGCATTGAACGCATTCTGACCGCATTCCTTTCAAAGTGGACAAACAAGTCATGCAACCTACGTGCACAAATATATATATATATATGGTACCCCCCCCCAAAAAAAAAAGGATCAAAAGGCAACCCAAAATAGACACAAAATATTGCAAATACCAGCAAAAGTGATGTGAACATAGGTTTTTTTCTGGGGGGGTACGATATATATAGAGCATTCAGAGGTGATACTGCCACTCTTCTGGTGGAATCCAGATCTATAACCCCCGCAACAGAAAGGAAGAGACGGACGGTCGCGGAAGACGGCCGCAGATCCTTCCGGCGTTTGAATGGTACGGGTGATTGATCGGCAGAATGACTTCAAAAGGGAAAACCTACCTGGGCCCCCGAGAAAGGGGTGGTTTTCATGGGCACCCCGAATCACCTCTAAGGGGCTATAATGAGGCACCCCTTTTTCTTAGGGGGCCCAGGTATGGGACACTTAGAGGTGTAGGCGTGCAAACGCCAGGGTTTCCATATATAGATGTCCCACGATGTTCCCTTCAACCCATTCTGAGAACATAATCATGCCCGAGTTCGTTCGTGTCCGGAAAGAGGTCGACGTACTGAGTGGTCCATTTTCAGGTTCCATTTTAACTTTCCTGCGTGTAAATGTCCATGGTTCTTTGACCATCTACCTGAAAAACCGTTGGGAGCAACCCTGAATCAATGTTCATTTCTGCCCGATTCTCTCAAGGCCACCGCTTGGGAGAAGCGCTATTTGGACCTCAAGGATGCACTCACCCAGCACCAAATGAAACTGGATATGCTGAAGCATGGTGATGTCATGGACATCCAAGCTGAGATGCAGAAAGGAAATTGGTCCTTCTTCTCCGCATCACGTCCTGATGGAATCCTAAATCAGAAGTTTACACAGCTTCTCGTGGCCTGTGAGGTGGTCTCTGTGATGTACAATGGTTTGAGCTCTGCGACCATGTCGCAACCGCAAAGTCTGAAATTTCACCAGAGTTTGCTGCCAGCCAAGTATGAAGGATGCTCGGACAGATTTTATGGTAACTTACAGCACTGTTCATTCAAGTCCACATGCCTTATTCATCCCGGAATGGTGGTTGTTTCCACTGGTGGTTTGGTTCCCGTTGGAATCGCTGGACTCTCGCAATTGGAGTATCCGTTCATGGTCCACTGGTGAATCAGTGAATCCTCATCATTTGAGCAGTTTTGATGCCTTGCTCTTCTAATTAGCTCATTTCTGCTTGCGAAGACGCTGTTGAAGTGATACAGATGTTGTTTTTTACACGGCACAGATGCTCTAAGCATCCAAGCTCCAGTATTTGAGGCTCCGAAGTCCAACCTATGTATACTAGACTCACTAGACCCTGAGGGTGGCATGTTTTGGACCACCCACACACCAAAATAGGTTTTGTTTTTTCCGATCAAAGCTGAAAAATATGCGAACCCCCTGCTTCGAACGGTCCAACAGCTGAGTTGAGGCAGTTTTTGGATGACAGGCTTGAAGGTGTGGTTGGGCGATCATTGCAACGGTGGTTGGAGACCACGCGGTTTCAAGCATGCTCAGCTCTTGGGTCTGACAGTGCTGGGGGAAGCAAACTCTGAGGAGGAACCTTCGAACAAATCAATTAACCTTCAAGTGCCCCAAGAAGGCGCTGCTTTGTGCCCTCCCCGCACCTTTGCCTTTGGTTTGGAGGTGAGCTTTTTTGATGCTGGAGACAAATGGTGGTCAGAGATAGTGTCAGAGGATGAATGCAAAGAGGATGGCGCCATGATGGAAACACTTCAAGTCTTCTGCAAGTCCTTGCCACTCGGCCACTATTCCGACCCAGTGCAACGGGCGTCCTCCAGGAAAGTCTTTATCGAGAATCCCAAAGCCAACGCCACACGCAGCGCCATGTGTCCCGAAAACACCTTCATCTCCCACGTGGCAATTACGCCCAAAGGCACATGTTTCCACCATTGTGACGAGGATGGCGCTATCGTCCAGAGTATCTCGCTGGAGTGTCATCCCGTGTGCAATTTCAACCAGAATGTGTCCTGCCCTCGGGCTGCAGCGTAGGTGAGGTGGGATTTGCCGAAGGCTTGGAGTATTGCCTGCTGCTTTTGAATACCACTCTCAGGTGTCCCAAGGAGGACAGAGAGGCTTGCATATCCTGCATTTCACGCAATTAGGCAATTGAGTTCCATGTTGCAGCAAGACGAGTGCCAAAACCAAGGGGTGAACGTGGGTACAGCACATGTGCGAGGTTTTTGGAGTGATTTGTGCCAAATGATACAGTCCGAGAACCGGGTTCTCGTTCCAACAAGCTTGAAACAACAGAAGCTGCCAACTCGTTTTGGTGTTTCGCAGGCACGACCAGCAGTGGTGGGCCTTCACCTCACCCGTCCGTCTCACACGAAGGCGGCGTGTTTTGGGTGATGGCGGCGGTGGGGACGGTTAGCGGCCAGCGTGGAGTCTGGCTGAAAGGGGCCAGGTGTTTTCTTCAACGGGACCAGAGCTTGTCAGTTCCATCATCCTACTTACTCATTGTTGCTGCAGCGCAGAAAAGCGGCGTCAACTGGATGTTCACGGAAATTTGCGTGTTCCATTTGTTTGTGGCATGCAGAGGTGTTTCGTCGCCCACTACTGTTGTGGCAATGCATATCCGGGGAAAGACCGATACCCCGATCAGAAGATCTTCGTTTCGGGTAGACCTTTGGGTGACCTTCCAGGTGTCTCACAGTGCTTCACCAAGGATCCATCGATCCATTCCCTAAGGATCCAGTGCTTCCCCTCGCTTCGGTTCGGTGGGACGGTCGGGGGGTTTTCGGGTGCCAGGTTCGTCGGGTCCAGTCGTACCGAACCTGAGTTCGGTACGACTGGATCCCTAGGCATTTCTGATAGATCCTGGCCCCCCAGACCCACCTTTTGAGGCTGGTGAAGGGACGACAGATCCCGGTAGATACATGGACCGGAAGAAGAGGAACCCGTTTGGGCTCCAGTCGTACCTCCTCAGGTTCGGTACGATAGGACCCGACGTTTTGGCACCCACCCCAGTTTCACCGTACCTGAGAAGGTACGACTGGAGCCCAAACGGGTAATTAAATCATGAGGTTCAATCATCTGGAGTTCCGGATGACGGTTGGTCTTCGGGTGGGTGTCTTCTGTGTGGGTAACGACGATCTTGACGGTGCATCTCAGCTGAGGAGCCAGATGATCTCGAAACTACAATGACGTGCTTTCTCAGCACTTCTTTAGATCTTCCCAAAATATATACATCTAGGGCCCAATGAAGGGAAGTGGAACTCCTACCTCTAAAACG